AAGGCCACATTGAGTGGTGTCGTTTTCACATGTTGCCCACAATAACAATGACTTTTTTCTATCCTGAGTCAGTAGGTGTGCGCGTGCAGACTGACACCAAAAATTGAAACAAACATTTCACGAAAATCCCCTCCCTTCATACCTGTAAAGCACCTGGGTATTTTCTGTTCTGTTCTCAGTCATTAAAAGAGAGGAAGGGGCCCAGCTGACGTGGCTCCGTGATTGAGCGTCGACCTAGGAACCAGGAGGTCATGGTTCGATTCCCACTCAGGGCACATGCCTGGGATGCGGGCTCAATCCCCAGTGGGGGGCGTGCAAGAGGCAGCCGATCCATGACTCTCATCATTGACATTTCTCTCTCTCCCTCTTCATTTCTCTCTGAATAAAAGTATATTTTCAAAAGAGAATAAAGGAGAGGAAGGGATAAAGGAAGGCAGAGGAAGGAAAAGCTTGGTCACACCTGCTAAATGAATGTGGCGATCTATAGCCTAACGCCAATGGGAGGGTGTTGCTCACTCTCCAAGCCTCCCTTGCCAATGACCTTTCTATCTAGACCCGTGGTGGGGTCTCCCAGCAGCGCCAGGGGTTCCATCTCTCACTGCTCGCTCTGGCGGGACCCCCCACTCCTCCCACTGGGGAGGGAGGTGGATGATGATCACTTGATCGATCAGTGGCCTGACCTCAGCTCCATTGGTGGCTGAAATGGTGCTCATGGCCACGGCTGTCCTTCAAGGAGGAAACTTACCTCCCACAGGCATTGTCAGGGTTACAATAGGTGAGGGGGCAGGAAGGGGGCAGTGGCCAAGTGGCTGGATCCCAGAACCCTCACTCCATTTGAATCCTCTCTCTACACTTCTGCCTCCCTCCGCCTCCACACATTCCCCCTCCCACACATGCAGTTCTTCATACCTGCTGCTTCCAGGTCTCGCGGGAACGAAGGTTTGTCCAGCACCAGCTAGCTGTTCCCTGGCGTTAACAAAATGTCATCTCCTTGTGTTGAAGTTTTGGAAAACCATTAGAATCGGCTCCATTCCTGCTGCCAAGGCAGGTTGGCTCTCCAACTGGCCATGCCAGTGGCTCCCAGATGCGCCAATGATTCCAGGGTTGGAGCACAAGGCATTCTTTGAGAGAGAGGCTTTTAAAATATATATATATATATATATATATATATATATATATATATATATATATTGACTTTTTACAGTGAGGAAGAGAGAGGGGAGAGTTAGAAATATTGAAGAGAGAATCATCGATCAGCTGCCTCCTGCACACCCCCTACTGGGGATGTGCTCACAACCAAGGTATATGCCCTTGACCGGAATCGAACACGGGACCTTTCAGTCCCCAGGCCGACACTCTGTTCACTGAGCCAAACCGGTTTCGGCGAGAGAGAGGCTTTTGGTTCGCTAACCACTCACTGTTTTATGCGGTTTGTTACAATCTCCCTTCCACACACACATTTTCACAGTGATCACCATCTTAAGACTTTTGTTACTATCGGAGCTGTTGCAGAGAATTTAAACACGGGGGATAAGTCAAAGGCTCTCGAACATCCTTGAAAAGTTCAGTTTGGTCCAGTGCTCAAGTCTGAAGAAGATTCTGATCTTACAGAAAACATGAATAGCTCAAAACATGTATGTCCTTGGACATGGGTGCTGAGAAATGTATTCGTGTTATTATTTTTTCTTAAAACTTCCAATCTGGCTGGAATTGCATGTTATCCAATATACTGCTTAGAAGCCATTCCCCATCCTTAAAGGAGAAATTGTCTTTTTTTGTTTGTTAATCCTCACCTGAGGATAGCCTTCCATTGATTTTTAGAGAGAGTGGAAGGGAGGGGGAAAGAGAGAGAGAAACATCGATGTGAGAGAGACACATCAATTGGTTACCTCCCGCACGGGCCCTGACCAGGACCAGGGATTGAGCCTGCAACCGAGGTACTTGCCCTTGACTGGAATCGAACCTGAGACCCTTCAGTCCGCAGGCTGGCGCTCTACCCACTGAGCCAACCTCGCTAGGGCGAAACTGCCTTCTTACTCTGGACTTGGACTCGGTGGCTTCCTAGCCTTTTCATCCTGGCTGTAGTTCTGTGGAGGCCCTAGATTGCCTCCAACAGGAGTCCTCTGAGGACTCAGAACCCTTGCTAGGCCCCAAATGTCCAGGTCATTGCCATGAGGACTAGGAACTGATGGGGGAACAGTCCATTGAATGCATCGCTGCACTTGAGGCCCTTGGGCAAGTCTCTTCCCTCTCTGGTCTCCAGATTTCTGCCCTATGTGATAGGGGTGATGCAGGGGACCTCTCAGCTCTGATGGTCAAGGGCTCCCCTGGTTTCTGGTGGTGTGGGATGGGTCTGCCCTGCGGTGGGGCTGTCCTCGGGCTCCAGGAGGCCACAGGGTGGACGCAGGGGACCATCAGAGGTCAGACTCCTGGTGCCATCTATGGTGGGACCTCACAGTGGGACACCAGTGGGGGACATAAAAGGCTGAGTGCCGAGGCAGGTGCCGGGGGAGGGGTGTTCCTTGGGGAGCCGGCAGACCTAGAATTCCTTGACCTCATAAGGAAACAGCTTGGATGCATACAGGGAGGGGTGGCATGGGGGAGGACTGGGCCTCCGGGACCGGGGCCAACATTGCAGAAGAAGGCTTGGAGAGGTGCTGGGGAATCTGATCTTGCCAAAACTCCAAATTCCACGAGGCAGCCTCTGAGTGGCCCAGAGCCCAAACGCCATCTCTCTCCCTGCTCTGAGGCCATGCACGTGTCTGGGGAGCCACACGTCTCCTCTTCGTCTTTCAGGAGACAGAGCAGGCCCCACCTCTACTCGAAAGCCAAGTCAACAGCGACTCTTCTTCTTCTTCTTTTTAAAAAAAATATTTTATTTATTTTTCTTACAGAGAGGAAGGGAGAGAGATGAGCTAGAAACGTCGAAGAGAGAGAAACATCGACTAGCTGCCTCTTGCACACCCCTTACCGGGGATGTGCCCGCAACCAAAGTACATGCCCTTGACCGGAATCGAACCTGGGACCCCTCAGTCCGCAGACCGACGCTCTATCGCTGAGCCAAACAGGTTTTGGCAACAGCGACTCTTTTGAGAGTCTTTGCGGTCAGTCCAGGGGCCCATGTATTTACCACTCTTTCTGGGAACCCTCTCCCCTCCATGGAGAACTGATCTGTGACCTTGCACCAGCCGGGCCAGCCAGCCTGTCTGACTCAGAGCCCACCTCTTCTCCCCCTCACCAGCTGTCATCTATGAGACCAGGGACAGCACTTCATTTTCCCATGTTCCCAGTTCTAGGCCTGCCCAGAGAGAGGCACCTCAGTTGGCCGCACACTCCACTGGCTGTCTTTGATTAGAATCTCCATGGGACCACTTTCCAATCTCCATGGGACAGCTCTTGACTGACAAAGGCCCTTACCAACTCCTAGTGACAGTCCAGGCTTCTCAGTGGGCCTTGGTGCTTTCTGTGGTTTGCCCCCCTCAGTCCCTGGGCCCCCTGTCCTGGTGTGGGGGTGGGGGCTAACCCCGAGGGTGGCAAACAACAGCTTGCAAGCCAAATGCGGCTCTTTGGCCCCCTTGAGTGTGGCTTTTCCACAAAATGCCATGGCCTGGGTGAGTCTATGTTGAAGAAGTGGCGTTAGAAGAAGTTAAAGTTTAAAAAATGTGGCTCTCAAAAGAAATTTCAATCGTTGTACTGTAGATGTTTGGCTCTATTGACGAATGAGTTTGCCGACCACTGGGCTAAACTTTCATGGCACTGAAACGCACACACACCCAGGTGCTCAGAGCCTGCCAAGCCTATTGGAAGCCCTGAGCAGGCCACCCTGGGTCTGGAAGGGCCCCATTGGCTCCTTGTCTAGCCATCTCCTGGGTCACACTGGGCACAGGGGCCATTCACACAGGAGGGAAACCCCTAGTGCCCCAGGTGGATGGCAACCCCAGGCGGACACTTGCTGTCTGTGCACACATCACATGGTGTCCTATGCCAGTGCCCATTATTGGCACGTCCGGCCACTTCCAAGGCTGCTTGCTCCTGGAGTGCTGGCAGCCTCCTGGCCCAGTGCCCCATTTCCTCCCGGGTGGAGGTGCACAGGCCAGAGCTATGCAGACAGGAAAGCTGGAAGGGAACTGGGGGAAGGTGGTTGGGGAGAGGCCTGGGGGCAACCTAGGGCCTGGGCTCTGCCTGGGGTCGCTTCCCGGGTGTGGCACACGCACTCAAAGCGATTGCAACAGCCCCAGGTCCGGGACCTGCGCTTTCCAAGGGCTCACCCTTGGAATGGGCCCATTCCCGGTAATGCCCGGGCAGCCTGCCAGGGGCGGCCCAGGAAACCCCCGATTCTGGGTAGCAGGGGCTGTGGGGAAGGGGCGAGCCCACGTGACTCAGAGAAGGCAAGCCACGCCATGCGTTACCGGCCCCGCCCCACTTTCAGGCTCTAGCCGGTTTCTGCCGGTTCCACTCGCAGAGGCCCCACTCCTCACTTCTCGCCCGAACACACCAGTGGGTGACGTCTGCGCTCACCGGCCCCGCCCCGCCCCCTGTACAGGCGGGTCTACTCGCCTTTCCTTCGCGCGCAGGCCCCGCCCCTCACGTCCAGCCCGAACTCCACTGCGCGTGACGCCGGCTCGCCGGCCCCGCCCCTTTCCCTGAGCGCGCAGCCCCGCCAGCTCCCACGGTCCAACAGGTCTGAGCCGCTTCGGCTCCGCGCGGGGCCGCGCAGGCCCCGCCCCTCCTTCGCCTCTAGCCAATCGCGCTCGTTTGTGAGGTCTGGGCTCACCAGCCCCGCCCCGCCCCCTCCCAAGACCAGACCGGTTTGCGCTGGCTGCTTCCCAGCGGACTGGCTCCGCCCTGCGCGGCGCGCGCGCACCCCGCGACTGTGACGCGAGCGTGACGCGCGTGCTGCCGCTCCCGAGGCACTCCGCCGCTGCCGCCGAGCTCCGAGGCAACCGTAGCTAGGCCCGTGTCGTCCGGTCCGGGCAGCCGCTAGGCCTCCGCCTCCCGCCATGGACGACTACGCGGTCCTCTCGGACGCTGAGCTGGCCGCTGTGCTGCGGCAGTACAACATCCCGCACGGGCCTGTCGTGGGTATGCGGCGGCGGGCGGCCCCCTCCCCTTCCTGTGCCCCCCCTCCCGGGTCCCCCTCCCGGGCACCAGCCCGCACTGCGCGCCCCCTCCTGGGACTCCCTCCCCAGCTTCTGGGCCCCCCCGTCCCTGACCCTCCCCCTCCCCTGCGCTCCATGTCTGGCCAGGCTCCACTCGCAAGCTCTACGAAAAGAAAATCTTCGAGTACGAGACTCAGAGGCGAAGGCTCTCGCCCCACAACTCGTCCACATCCTCATTCTCCTATCGGCTCTCCGGTGAGGTCTCCCACCCCACCCCACCCCAGGGCCTTCCCCCTCCCCCCCTCCCCCGACCACCTGTGGGGACGTATTTTGCGCTATCGGGAGGATTGGGTGGCGCGGGTGTGGCCGGGACTCTGGCGGGGAGGGGCGTGAGGAAAAGAACGTGGGGGCAAAAGGTCTTTTCCCCCCCTCCCCCCATTCAGACTCAGATTCGGCTTCGGCGGACTCGGATATGTACGATCTGCCCAAGAAAGAGGATGCCTTACTTTATCAGAGCAAGGGTAAGACAGCGGTGGGATGGGCCCTGTCGGCTTCAATTCCACTCCCTCAGGGGGCCCCAGTGTCAGGAAGAACCTGAGACCTCAATCCCCACTGTCCCTCACCAGCCATGGGGGGGGGGGGAAGGGGAGCAGCTGTGTCACAGGCCCCAGATAGGATTCAAATTAGGACCATGGGGCCAGGTGGGGGACACTACTGCCCCCTCTACTACCGCCACCTCCCCCCTTTCCCAAGGCTATAATGATGACTACTATGAGGAGAGCTACATGAGCACCAGAACTTACGGCGAACCTGATTTTGCGGGCACATCCAAGGGCTTCCGCCAGTCCGCAGATGCTGACACCTTTCACCAGCAGGTGAGCTAGCTGCTGGGCACCCTGGACTTCGGTACAACCTCGGGGGGTCCAAGCTGGGTTTGGATAAATCACTGGGGCCCCTGGGTGCAAATGGTAGCCCTCACGCCTCCAGGAAGATGTGGGATCCGCAGACACCTACCTGGTCAGGGGCTTCCTTTGGGGGTGTTGTCAGAACTGTTTGACTAGAGCCCACGGGACATGCTTTGCACCCCGGGCTGGGATCTGGGTTTGAGCTCTTTCTGAGAATCCTGGGGCAGAAGGTACGGTGCACAGCAGTCAGGACAATTACTGAGCAAGTGGCAAAGCCCCATGGACATAAGGCCAGGGATTCAGAAGGGTTCTGGAGCGGGGCAGGCCAGCCAGGGGAGTTTGGACTGAGATAGGAAAGGACCACGCTGACCCTGACAGTGTCTCTTCACCCTGACTCTCTTCTTCAGGTGCGCGAAGACAGTTTCTACTCTTCAGAAGAGGATGGCAAGAATAGGTGAGTAGTGGGGAAGGCCAGGAGCCAGGACTGAGTCTGGGCCCAGACCCTCCTGGCCCATCTGCTCCCCTCTCTGCCTCAGGGAACGCCCCGTGTATGGCCGGGACAGTGCCTACCACAGCATCGCGCACTACCGCCCAGTTTCCAACATCACCAGAAGCTCCCTGGGCATGTCCTATTACCCCACCAGCTCCTCCTCCTCTTCCATGTCCTCATCTTCATCTTCCACCCCCTCGTGGCTCGCCCGCCGAGCCATCCGGCCAGAAAAGCAGGCCCCTGGGGCTGGGCTGGGCCAGGACCGCCAGGTCCCACTCTGGGGCCAGCTGCTCCTTTTTGTGGTGTTTGCTGCCTTCCTGCTCTTGGTTTACTACTCCATGCAGGCCGAGGACCGCAACCCCTTCTAAGGGAACACCTGAGGGTCCGGCTGGCTCCGTGGCCAGCTGCTCACGGAAGTGCTGGCCAACTGCCTTAGCAGTATTTGTTGGGGGGAGGGGGGCGGGGGACTTTTCGTGTGTGTTCTAGCTTGTGGGTGCCTTGTCCTACCTTGTCCTGCCTGGGAGGCGGCAGACCTGGGCTCTCTGCAGCATGGCGGGCCCGGGCTGACCTTCCTCCTGACCCTGCTTGCCTCTGACCCTTAGGGCCCAGGAGGGCAAGCCCTTTCTCCTGGAGAGGAGAACCTAGTTGTTGTCATTGCATGCCTCCTGTTGTTGTCACCTTGTTGGGGGATTAACCAAAGGCCACCCTGACTTCTGTTTTCGTGGACACACAATAAAAAGTTTATTTTTAACGTGTGGGCTCTTCTTGCTGGGGAAGGGGTTGGGCTCCTCTGCCTGGGGCCTCCGCCCTAGGTCTCAAACATCCCCACCTGGCTTTGTTGGCTCTCCTTTGCTTTGGGCACATTCCACCCACAGACACATTTGTGCTTTGCCCGTGGGGTCTACTGCCAGACCTTTTGTAACTACTCTTCAAAATAACTGCGGCGCCATAGGTTATGGAAACCCAGCTGGAAATGCAGGTGAGGCTGCGCGCACAATGCTGGCTGCAGGTGCTTTAAGCAGGAAGAGCTGACGCTGACCTTGGCATCTAAGGGGCAGCATGTGTTAATGGGCCTTTTCTTCCAGAAAGCGGCTTGTTTAGTGACACGGGGCAGTCAGCATTATCTGAGATGCCCCGCCATCTCTGGGTAATCCGATTCTTCAACTGACTGTTGTTATTTATCTCCAGGTTTTCTGCTATGGGTATTTAATCTTCAATATGTACACGTACTTATTGGTACTGAGGGAACCCAGGGTAGAATGCCATGAGGCTGTGCATCCTGTTGGTACGCTGCCAGCACAAGTTGGGAAAGCACATAGGCGTGTGCTCCATGCAGGCAGGTGGGAAGCAGAGGTGAGGCCAGGCTTCCAGGACAGGCGGGGCCCTGACATCACTCCTCTGACCAGCTCCTGGCGACAGGTGGTAGGACTCAGCAGGTGTCAGCCTCTTGACATAGCGCCCATAAAGTACCCATGGGCTCCTGAGCCTTCGGGGCCCTTGGCTGGCTATGGCCTCATAGACAGCTTAGGTCAGGGCTTGGACTGGGACCCACCTACCCCAGCTCCTGGCCATTTCTCTGCTGCATCCTAGTCCCCACATTTTTAAAGAATATACTTTTAGCCAAAACCGGTTTGGCTCAGTGGTAGAGTGTCGGTCTGCGGACTGAAAGGTTCCAGGTTCGATTCCGGTCAAGGGCATGTACATTGGTTGTGGGCACATCCCTGGCAGGGGGTGTGCAAGAGGCAGCTGATCGATGTTTCTCTCATCGATGTTTCTATCTCCCTCTCTGTAAAATATCAATAAAATATATTAAAAAACAAACAGAAAAACACGTTGAATTAAAAAAAAAAACATACTGGCTTCGGAGACAAAGGGAGAGATAGAAACATCAATGATGACAGAGAATCATTGATCAGCTGCCTCCTGTGTGCCTCGCACTGGGGATTGAGCCCACAACCTGGGTATGTGTCCTGACCAAGAGTTGAACTGTGACTTCCTGGTTCATAGATCGATGCCCAACCACTGAGCCATGCCAGCTGGACTCCCCCCACATTTTTGTGTTTTCTTAAAAGTTAACACATGCTTTTTGTGCATTTAAGATATTCAAAAGAGCCGAGACCGGTTTGGCTCAATGGATAGAGCATCGGCTTGGGGACTGAAGGGTCCCGGGTTTGATTCCGGTCAATGGCATGTACTTTGGTTGCGGGCATATCCCCAGTAGGGGGTGTGCAAGAGGCAGCTGATCGATGACTCTCTCTCATCGATGTTTCTATCTCTCTCCCTCTCTGTACAAAATCAATAAAATATATTTTTACAAAAAGATATTAAAAAGAATGAAAGAAATGAATTGCTTCTATTTTTCTCACCACTCCCACAGCTGCAGAGCCTCCCTTGTTTGCTGCAAGCCACTCCCACCTGGCTCATCCCCAAGTGCACAGACACCTGTGGCACAGACGCCCCAGACTTCTAGCCACTGCCCCTCGCCATCCCAGTGCAAGGCTAAACCTGGATGCTCTATGGGGGGAGTGGCAGTGACAGGGCAGGGAATGCTGCCTCATCACTGACAATAAAACCTGATGGTCAGATTAACGAGCCTGTAAGAGGGGGAGGGGCAGAACAAGGACCCTAGAGGGGCACAGTGACACATCTTGTTTCAGCAACTGATCCCAAGTTCAAGTATGTCAGGAGGGAACCCCCACAAACACTGCCTGGGGCTGCTGTTGCACGGGAAAAGCATGTGGAGCCTAGCGAAGGGCAAGGTTGACTCGTCAAAGCTGTGGTGGAGAAAAGGGACAGCATGAGGAAGGGGAGCGGGCCAGGGGCATTCCAAGGAAGGGGAGAGGGATGGCATGGCTTCTGGGTAGAATGGCTCCAAGTCTTTGGTCCTCCATCTGAGGGGTAGGCTAGGTAGGTGTGCTTGGCAACCACTGTGGTGTCTGGCATGAGAAAAGAGGCAACACCCATGTGACACAGTTTCCCCCTTCTCATTCATTTCCCCCCATGGGCAACCATAGTCATTCATTCCCATGTGCCACATGGAGGCTTGCTGAGGACTCCCAGCCAAGGGGCTTCCAGCCTCCTGCCCTGGGGCTCTGAGGACACTCCCATCCCAAGGAGTTCTGATACCTCCTGAGGAGGTTGGATCCCCATTCCAGGACCCCATTTGGGTGTGGCTCACTCCCCAGGGCATCGTGGGATCCCGAGTGTTCTTATACCCCTCTGGTGGTCCCAAGGGCTCTCCACACCCAACCCCTAGAACTCTGGAGACCCAAAAGGAACCGGAGTGCTCCCTAGTGCTCTTGGTACCTCAACCCAAAGGCTTTTGAGTGCTCCCTGGGCCCCCAAGAGAACCCCAGGCTTGAAGGTCTCCACCTAGTATTTTCCAGGGCTAAGACTACTTCCCTTCCTTGCAAACTCACCTCCCCAGAGCCCTCGGTCCTCCCTCTATAGCAACTGGGGGCTCCAGTATTCACTGGATGACTAAGGCCCCTGATCCACTCCCCTCTTCCCGCCCAAGGGCACCAGCAGAGTTGGGGATACAGCAGGGAGCAGCAGTTGCCTACAGTCCAGCAGACCATGTCTCTGCTTCCTTTGGGGGGTACCACCTGAGCTGAGTCCTGTTGGGGCCTTGGACAGAACAGCACCACTCCTGATCTCACCCATGAACTTGGCCTCTCTGAAAAGGTCCAGGGGGAGTGGCAGAAAGCACTGGACAGGCCCAGAGGTGCCCTTGCCTTGACCCCCATGCTACACAATAGCAAGCTGTTAAGCTGGAGAATGTGCCTACTGAGGCATGTGGGTTCCAGCATCAAGCAGGCAGACTATAAGACAACGCAATGGATGCACATCCTACAGCCCCACAAGGATGGACCTGCAGGGGCTCTGAGGATCTTAAAGGACTGCAAAATGGTTCTGGACCTTCGCTGTTACCACCCCTGGGGCGAGACTGCTGCCTGGGCTTGGGTGGCCAGTCCCCACACTAAACTCAGCCCCAGGGGACGCTGGACACGCCTGAATGAAGGAGGCCCTACCCCTGGTCCACACTTCCCCTCCCGCTGTCCTCAGAGGCAGGTGTATTCTGGGGGTGCTGGAAGCTACCCAGCTGGAGGGGGAGCAGGAGGAGGCAGAGCCCGACCCACAGACCTGCAGCACCAGCAGGCGAACAGGCAGCCCTTCTCCCCTCGGCCCAGTGGACCCCAGGACTCTGCACACACACAGCACACACCTCCCTTCCCTGACACACCAGAGTCTCCTGCCTTCTGCCTCCTTCTAGGCTGGCCGCTCTGAGGAGGCAGTCCTGCCGCCCAGCCTCTCCCTAATGCCTGCCTCCTGGGCCCCATGGAGACGGCTCCCAGCTACCAGGGGCCTGTCCCCGCCCCAGAGGCCTTGTCACACCCAAGCAGCTGTGGCACGTGGGGCAGCAAGGACGGAAATGCCCACCTGGGGGAACAGGCCCCGGGACCACCCTGGGCTGCGTCTGCAGGACACACCAGGCCTGAGCCTGAGCCCTGCCGGGCACGGGTAGGAGGGCCCCGTGGAGGGCCCGCCGCTGGCACCAGGAACCAGAGAGCCACCAGGACCTCATGCTGCTGGGGCAAATGGCCCGGGACCCGGCCGAGCCACTGAGCGAACCCAGACGCCATCCTGGCTGCTGGGAGGACACGAAGAGGGAAGGCCCAGGCCAGGAACCGGGGTCACACACTGTGAGGGCCACAGGGTGGTCCCCCAGCGTCTCACCCGAGCCCTGCTCACTGGGAGGAGCCGGAGCGGAGGGGAGGACCGGCCACATGCCTTCCCAGGCTCCCCACCTCACCTACCGAATGGGCAGAAGACGGCTGGTCACCCTATTGGGCCCCGGGCCCCGCCCCGCAGGACCTGTCTGCCCTGAGTCCAGGCAGGGCAGGGCAGGGGGAGGGCTGAGCTGACCCCCACCCCACAGTCAACTCCACCCCTGCCCCTGCCACACCCCACACCTGCCCTCCCTGCTGCCCCTCCCCGCAGGGGCTGGGGGTCCAGGTGGGGAAAGGGGAGCACTGGGTCCTCAGGGCAGGGCTGCCACCCCTACCTCACAGTGAGAGGGTCCAGCGTGTGAACCAGGAGAACATTGGTCTGGGGGCCCTTGGGGTTCCCGCTGGGCCCTCCAGCTGGGCAGCCTCACACCATCCAGGGCCTGGGGCCCCAGTGCTCAGGGCAGCCCCCTGGGAACCTGGAGGGAGCCAGGGGCCGAGGGGGGGTGGACACCAAGTCAGGGCGGCGGGCATGCGTGGTGCTGGTGTGACCTGAGCCCTCGGTGAGCTCAGTGCCTCGGGACATTCCCATCCCCGGCCAGGCCCGGCCATCCGGCCGCAGACGGCCCAGAGGCAGGGCC